TTCCCATGGAGTTTGATGGAGAATTTGGGGGCATTTGGTTGATTGGTTGGGGTTTTTTGGTTGGTTTGAGTTTGTTATTTTTTTAAATAGCTAAGGTCTGGGTAGAAATTAACAGCCTTTTACTCTCTCACTGAAGAATATTGGGTTTTTCCAGCAGTTTTCTTCCAGGATCTTTGTCTCACTTCCGTTGCTTCTCTCCCACCGCTGCCCTCTAGAGTTGTCTTTTGCCCCTTGAATGGCAAATACTGAAGCCTTCCATTGAGGCAGTACTTAATCCCCCAACCCTGTTGGGATATACCAGTCTTCTCTACATGCCTTGCCTTGCAGTCAAAAGCTGTTTTGCTTAATCTTGTCTAGAGCTTTTTTTTTTTCCAAAGCAGAGCACTGTTGCAAAGTACTTGCCTATTTTCTCAAAACATCTCACTTTGAAGAATCCTTCTCTCAAAGCATGGAGTTGGAAATTGTGGGAGCTCTTGTCCTCATCAGGGCTCTTGGGATTTCCAGACTCCCTCCTGTACGGGCAGAATTTGGAGTCCTGAGTCATGCAGGAGGCCCCTAGGCTGTGTGGCCATAGTTGGTCATCCTGGTGGTGCTGGAAACCCCATGGCTGGTCATGGAGTCACTGTCTGAACACACAGAGTTTTGTCTTGAGTATTGAAAGATGAGCTGCTGGCTCAGGGAGTGAGTTCCTTTCTCTTCACTGATTCTTAGGGCACAAGTTTCCATCGCCTTTAGAGGTGTATGTAATATAGTAAATCTCCCTGATTTGTATTAGGCATTTATTCTTTTCACGGTTTCATTTCATAAATCATATATATAGCCATGATTTCAACTCCCAGTTAGGTACTGGATAAAAACAGTGTGAGGGTCTCAGCATTTTCTTTCCTTTTTCATGTTTTCTTTATTCAGATTTTTGCACTGAATTGAGTAACATCTGCTAAGCAGTGCTTATTTGTAGGTGCTTACTGAACAAAACAATAAATATGTGTACTTAATTTTTCATAAGAAAACATGTTGATACTTGTGCAATTCTAAATACATACTTGAAAATCTGTAGCATGTGTACCAAGAATATTATTTCTGTTGATGCGCAAAGGACTATTGCGTTGAGATTCTGAATGTGTAACAGGAAATATTGATTCTAAGTGTAACTGGACTAATTATGGAGGGAAATTAATAAAATATACAGATATAGAAGTATTGTTGCATGTCTTATTGTGTCATGTGGGCTTAATCTAATTTCATGAAACAGCCCATAGATACACAAGCCCTGCAATAGGAAATTTGTAATTTCCAATATAAGTAGCATGCTAACAGGCATAACAATCTTTCTTTAGTGGAACTGCAATATGTTAAGAGCTTCTTCCATTATGTTCACTGCAATGCTGAAAAGAACGATGTATTAGAAATGAATCATTATAATTATTGTGGTCAATGCATTACCTCTTTAAATTCATGTTCAGAAGCTATCTTGCTGAAAAACTCCCACAGGAAATCCTAATATACATTTTTGTTTTTATGATCAGAGCTAAAATAAAGCTGTTTCACTGAAAATTGTGTGGAAAGCCTTCCAGGGGAAATGCTAATGCCAGGTTCATCCCCCATGAGAAAGAACATCAGTTAGCTTTTTTGTGAAACGATTTCACCCACGTTCAAACACATATTAAAGTTGCAAAACCCATGACAAAAAGACTGTTTCAAAAAATACAGTGGTTTGGTTGGATTGCTTCTGGCTGAGGTTTCCAAGTATCTATATTTGAACACAGGCCCGTATGGACCATCTAGCCTAGTGATTATGTAGAGGACCTTGCAAGGAGACTGTCTCTGTAGGGAATGGTTGGTGAGATGCCATATTGTTGTCATGGCTCAACTACTCAAAAAGTAAGGTGGGAAATCCTGGGATTTTGTAAAGAGAGAGTGAGGGAGGACCAAGCCTGCATCCACAGACTGAGTCATGGCACACTGCAGCCCGGATCCGGACTGACCCAGCCAGAGCATGTACAGCTTCCTTCAGTCCCGTGCACCCAGATCTCTTTCTCAAATAAACCAAGTTCCAGGAGAAAAGGGGTCCTTGAACACACCTCTGACATGTGGCTGGGCATGGACTCCTGGAGCTATCGGTTCAGCTGATCTCAGATGTCTTCACTGTTTGTGTCTTAAGGCTTTAATTTTTTCCTTCAGGTTGCCCTAATTTCTTTTTCACTTCTCTCAGTTGTGGAATGTGTTCTTCACGGTGGTGTGGCTCTTGGCAGGCATTCGCATCCCCTGCTCTGCATCCTGGTAAGGTCAAGTCTCTCCCTTCCAGGCATATAGCAGTGACTTGGCTTCATTCAGTTTCTCTTTCCGGGCTCCTTGGTTGCTCCTTGGTTCTTCAATATAATTTGTCTTAAGTCGTCCTTCTATAGAACCTGACTTTCTCTGTTTTGTGATGCTTGTCTATGCCACGAGAAAGTCTGGAGGTCTGTCTGTGCCACGTTTCCCATTCCTCTGCAGAGCATTTGAAAGAACTCAGAGCAGCTGCTAATTTCTCTTTTTTTAGACTTTGCAAAATACTATTTTTACCATCACTAGATTAATTGATTATTTTTCAAATTAGATTGAAGAGCTTTTGTGGCAAGTGTGACTAAAAATAAGTTTTAGTGATGATTAATATGTGTCTAGAAATTACATTTGAATTGCAAGGAACCTTTTTCCAAGATAGTGCCTATGTATTTTCATTTCCATAACATTTATGCTTTCTGATATGTTTCTGTCCTTTTGTACTTTTTTTTTGTCTTTTTTTTTTTTTTTTTTGCCTCTGGCCTCTCTTGTACAATGTGTATTTTCCCAAATGGGTCTCGAACAGCATTTTTTATTATACTGACAAGAACAGCAACACCTCTGTAGATTGTCCTACAGCAAAGGCATGACAGAATAAATGATCATAAATAAATCGTCTTACATGATTTCTGTGTTTCCAGTCCTTCAGTTCCTCTCTCCAACGGGCAAGTGCCCTGGCAAACCACTGCCTTGTATGGCATTTGAGACCTAAAACAGATGCTGACAGATCAGATGTGGTTGTTGTTTTGCCTGCCATATCTTAGGATTTGAACCCAAATCCCAAGTGTATGATAAAATAGGCAGTGGAAGCCACCAAAGACTGATAGACCATATGTTGCTTGAATTTTGATAAGTTTTGCTTGTTCAGCTGCTTATTCTACATGTTTGAAGGGCTACTGGGAGAGGGCCCTTTTTTTAGTCACAGAATTCAGATACTACATATGTCTTGTAGAAGGGCACTAAACCAGGGCTCGATTGGCCTCAACTCTCCGCATCTCTGTTTCCTGTGTATAAAGTAGGAGTAAATAAATTTATTTGCTCTGTGCTTTTTTTGGTGTAATTCATACTGGCAGTCTTCGGGACAGAAAGTTCAGTCGAAGCCTTTGCCACCATTGTAGATATGTTCTCACAAAAAGTCACATTAGCTGATGATGGAGAGCGATGCCATTTGCTGCATCATGTTGCCTTTCTTTTATGCACGTATTCGTCGTCTCTGCATCTGAAAGATCTGGGATGGAGGAATATCTGATACCATGTGTTGTCTGTGTGTCCTCTTACGTGTTTACAAGTTCCTATCTCATGCAACTCATGGGACAGCTTCTGGTGCATGTGTTTGTGTAGTGCCGTTGAGCACAAGGGTCTACATGACAATGTGCCACCAGAAAGCACTTGCAGATGTATTCACAGCGGTCCAAGAGTAAGGGTAGTGCAAAAGATAAACACGTAGATCAAGGACAAACATGTAATAAGACCCAGTGGATGGATAAATCTTGTTGGTGTATTTATCTTAATTTATATGTATTTGGGAAGTCAGTATTGTTGTAGAGGTTTGTGAGAGGAAGTGTGTCCATTAATATGCTTTTGATTGTTCACACTAACTTGTTAAGATGCTTAAAACAGAGAAGGGACTTACATGGTATGTGTGTTGTACATGGATCTCGCTTACAAAGCTAAGTGGCAAGCCAGATAATACTGGCAGACATGAGGACCTACACATAGAAATTGGTAGCACCAGAATACTGAAGACCTGAGTGATGTTACTGGGTTTACAGTCCTCCAAAGTGTGGTGAAATAATTCTGCAAGTAGATGCATGTCTAATGTGCAGCATCAACTGAAATATGTAGCCAATCAGCAAATGCAATCCATGTTTTAGTCTACAAAAATGGAAATATTTCTATTGAAATATCCTATTGGAATGAAGGAAGCCAAAGGTCATAAATTGAGACTTTCAGCTACTAGACAGCTATTCCCCGGGGGTTATTGTCAGGCCAGCAATATGCCAGTGCTGTACAAAATAGTCCACTGCCTAAGTGGAAGGAAACACAAGTGACAAATGCGGGATTCAAGTGAGCTTGTTATTATGGAGGTCAGAGTCCTTGGCTGATGGGAGAAACAGACCTTGCCAGAAGTGCCAGGAGTATATCTAGTAAAGAAACTTATTTAATAAGCATCAATGAAAAGTCTGCTCACAGAGAAGCAAATGTTTTGCCTTTTTTATTGCTGAAATAAAATGGGTAATTATAAAAATGCTGCTTAGTCTCTTTGGAGCCATCTTTCCAATTGTTAAGGTCTAGAAGTAGTTTGGAGTATTTCTGAATTTTCAGAACTTCAAGCATTGTAGTAGAAACTATCATTCTTATTTTTAATAAACAGCTCATCACGTGGTACTCTGGAAGCTGTTGTGTGGGTTCACTGCTCAGTTACCTGCTTCCCGTCACTAAAAGGATGTAAAACAGGAGATGCAGTGGCGTGAAAGAGGAAGGTGTTGCTTCTCTGAAGTACGATTTTGACAAATCACATTTTGCTGGCTCAGAAGCCCCTCTGCGTACACCTGAGCAGAGCTGTAGAGCAGTGCTAGGCATGGAGGTGTGCCGCACAGAGCACGTTCATCTCTGTAAGCCAAACAGCTGTTGGCAGAGGAAGTTTACTAAAACCACTGACTTGTTGGACCCTGTTTCAGGTGGCATTCCGTTTGTCCTCACCGGAGAGTTTTTCCAGCAGTCCCAGAGGCCAGCTGCCTTCATGATAGCTGGGACAGTCAACTGGCTCTCCAACTTCGCAGTCGGACTGCTCTTCCCTTTCATTCAGGTACTCAGCAACCTTGATATTTGATATACTATGATATTGCTGGTATAGTGGAGCATATGATGTTTGAATAGTAATTTTCTGATAATAATAAATGTATTTTTATTGAACTGGATGAGATTTCCACCATGTTTTTGATACATCTCAGTTGTGCTGCCCACATATCTCCTTGTTTAAATGTCTGGGAGAAAATTGTCCTGCAAAAGAAAAATGATTGTAACCATGGACAACCCTATATGGCAAACAGTTTAAGAGTGAAGTCCTAATTGATTTTATTTTTTTTTTTAAAAATGCACAGATGAAAATACTAGGGGCAAGGGAAGGGCACAGAGGGGAGCAAGCCCTCCAGGCTACTTGCTGGTCCTCAATCAGGAGAGAGATTTTGGATTACCCATCAAATCATCTCTGACTAAAAGATCTAAATAACAGGCAAGGAGGTGTTAATGCTGTTTGTGCCTTTTTACAACTGAAAATTCGAAGATACTTTATCATATGCAATACTGTCTAACGGTATTTGCAGATACTGTAAAATTATATCATACTGTAAGACTATGTATTCATTTTTGTTTGACAAGTAAAACTCCTTTTACTAATACTTTTACTATTTAAAATTATCTGTATGAGATAGTTTATGGGAGAACTTGAAAGTCATATAAAGTCTGACCTTTGATCTAAGTTTGACAATTAATTTAAAATTTTTTGTAAAAGGAAAAAGTCTCTAGTCTTGGATCACCTTCAAAAGTCAACGTGAATATAAAGGCTGTCATACTTCCAAACTCAGTGCTCCTGCTAACATTAACTTCAAGTACACTGCTCAGAGCTATAAGTCTTAAGAGCTTGTTTTAATGCTTACTGAAATCAATGAGTGTTTTTCACCAGTTTCATGGCAGAGAGTAAGGACTTGCCAGATTAGACATTTAAGGCAAGATTTTCAAGAACATAATTATTTTCCCACTGAGGTCGTTAGAACATTTACCAAATGTAGTGGAGAAAGAATTAGACAATTCCCTTGTGTTTTTGAAAACCTAACCTTAGTCATCAGCATTAGTATGGTCCAGGAGGCAGCCACGAGCTCACTCAATAAGTGGATGCTCCTGTGTGGATTAATAGTTGTTCCTTCAAGAAGATGGGGACCCACCGTTTGGGCAGAATTGGGGATTGCCTTCCCCTCTGGCTGGCCAGGCCCTAGCAGCCAGGCAGGTGGCAGGGAATGAGGTCTCAAATATAGGGACATATAATCAGAATACTTCTATTTTTCATGTTTTTAAATTATCCAGAGACTTTTAAGGAATAATTGTGCTTCTCCAAGATTGTGGTTTCTGCCTCCTGCACAAAAACCAAGGAGTTACCTGAGCTCTGGCTGTCAGTCAGATCTGAATTCATGCAATTCAGGGCACTCCTTTCTTGTCCTGCTAATCCCACCTGACAGATCACCTGGTGAGAAATGTTTAAAAAGGTCCTCAGTAAATTCAAGTAAAAAGGCAAACTACCTTCTCTAGCTTTTCATATGCATAGTAAAGCTTTTCAAGGGATTTAATATGCATCCATATGATGTTTGCTGTGGCCTTGGGGAATTAATCTTTTTGTCTTGTAAAAATTTCCCATTGTGTGATTATGAAATTACCAGTTTAGTTTTAATGAAGGTAAATTATATTTACACCTTGCAGGGTTTTTGGTTTTCTCTTCTTTAAAAAGTAATAAAGAGAAAGAGCGTAGAGTTTGCACCTAAAGATGAAAGCAGTGTTACTCAGACTTTGATTTTTAAAGGTTTTTCACAAGATCAAACTATGACGTTTCCTCACTCCCTAACTTTAACTTTTTTCCTATTTCAGTCAACATTATTCTCAAAATTCAGCTTGTGAGTCACCTGTTTCTTTACAGAAAGGCAATAGCATCTCCTTAGTTCATTTTTGTAATTCTAAAACAGGAAAAAAAAAAAATCTTTAAAATGCCTTCACAGAATGAATGTGTAATCCCTTCTGTGTATTTAAATACTAATCTGATTGCTTGAGAGACAACAGGCACTTTTTTGATCATTGGTACGCTTCTACAAAGTTATCCCAAACGTTTGGGAAACAAATGTGTTAACTTTAGAGTTATTAAAAAAAATCAACCAGTAGGTAGTTCTCCAAATGTCACCAATTAACTAGTTTGAATGCCTAGATTTTTTCCCCTCAACCATCTGTAGATACATGTAACAGAATAAAACACTGGCTTGAGTCATACATTAAGATGTATGGATGAGATTGAAAAGCCAATATACAAACCAATTTTTGACAAATTACAAAAAATTTAAAATGTGGCTACTGTTCCAGCCCTGATCACTGCCTATTTGAGAAATTAGTTTGTACGAAGGATCAGAACTGAGGTTAAAATGACAACTGATGCTATATTGAATTCACAAGTACATTTGATACAATGTGATTACTAGGAGGTGTCTGATAGTAGTTGTCAAAAATGTGCCTTTTAAAAATCTTTTTTTAGTGCAAAATACAGTAATTGCAGAAGCCTTATTGCACGGGATCTTAGAACAAACAGGAATTATAAATGAACTGGGTTTAGGTCTGAAGGCATTTCAGTCTTGTCTTTAACAGAGCTTGACCTTGTGAAATGTCAAAGATGTCACCTTGAGCAACACTCCACAGGATCTCTTTCCTATTGCTTGAGAATGAAGGCATGAGGCTGTTCTGAACAACAAGCTGTGAAGAGACAAAGACAGCTTTGGTAAAACAGTAGACCGGAGGTGCCTGAAATAGTTCATGAAGACATGGTGACCACTCCTTTCAAAGCATTTCAGGGCTCCTACAGGTGCTAGAACTGGGTCATAATGCTCTGTTATTTGGATGGCTAATCTCCAAATTTTCATACCTGCAAAATATCCATCAGCGAGTATGTGGAGTAAGAAAGCACTTCAGCCCTCTGCCCTCTCCTCCAACTTGCATGTCTCATGTTTTTGCATGGCACTTGCATGTCAGGAGATTGTAGTAGTCCATAAAAAACCTCCTGTTCCGCACCATGTGAGCAGTGGCACAGGGAGCTTCTCTTCAGAATGGAGCCACAGGATGTGACAATGTTCATTGAATCAACTGTGTAATAGTTAAAAAGTAATATGGCCACTTGGGGAAGAATGCTTGAAGTTATAATAATGTTTGCGTAAGCCTGAAATAATTACAACTTTAACACTTTTCATTTTGCCTTTACATTATACAGAATCGCTATACTTTATACTTTTAATGCATCGTAATTGGATTTGAATCTCAATTTTTTGTGAGCTAACCAAAATAGCATTTAGAAAGGTGCGAAATTTGCGTGAGCTGATGAAAAGCTTATTGAATATATTGACATGTCTAAATAGGTGTGTTTTGTGTTCTTGGAGACTTATGCAAACACTTAATTCCAACATTTGATTTAAAGGCAGCTTGCACTCACAGCTATCCATGTGCGTTCATAAGCCTTTGAAAGATCCGAACCTAAAATATACAGTCTTGGTTGTTCAATTCACTTCTGTTTTCTGTGATTTGTTACATTTTTTCATTGTTTCAATATGTAGAGGTGAAAGTGGTTTTCCTTGTGCATGTCTAATTTTCTTAATTTTCTCACTTTCCTAAAAGATTTATAAACCTTTTTTTTTAAAAAACGTAAATGACTCAAAAAAAAAAAAAGAAAAAAAAGATATGCAGCTATGCAGTGTGTTCTTGCACATAAATGAAATTGCTACACTAGACACCACGCTATCTGGTGAAAATTTTTAAAGATAGATTCCTGTAAGTTCCTAAAGCAAATTACAAAATTATCTGATTTTCAGCGATGTTGCTGAAATTTCAGCAGAAATGCTCCGGGGTCAGCATCTCACAGAATTCGTTTAATAGCTGCTTGGGTGAAGACCCAACTAAACTAAACCCCCTCAAACACCAAATCTTTCTCCCTTGTTTGCTCTTTGTGATGATTCAGTTGCTACAGCTAATGCAGGGCAGCAGCAGGGCTTGTCTCACAATCATGATAAATAATATTGATTCTTGCTTCAGCCCTATATTGCAGTTTTGGTGCGCAGCGTTACAAATCATACATTATTCCTTTTGTGACTAATCTCCTCTGAAAAATGTTTAAAGTTCTGTCTTGCTCAGAAGGCATATAGAAGCGCAACCATTCCTTTTGATGTGTTCATAACAAATCAGTCTTTGAAAATATGATTCTTTTATATATGAAATTATTTTAGAAAATGAAAAGGGGATGAAACCAAGTCTTCCAAAGGCTAGAAATTCTCCTGAGACCTCCGAATAATATAGTTTCTTGAGGTCTAAAATAAGCATTTCCATCACTGACATCTTCTTACGTACAGATCGCCCAGTCAAACTGTGTCACAGTTGAGCTTGTAGCAGGAGTATGAACATGGTTTGAAATGCCCTCATAGACAGTTTGTTGTCTTTCTTCTTGAGAAAATGTGCTGGGTGTTGCCCCTACTGAGAAGATGCACTTATGCATTTTAAAGTAGTATGCGTTGATGGAAATGGGCTTCTGGTTGCTTTATGGTATCAACAGAGTATCTCAATGTATGAACGTGGTGTGGCAAGCTCAGAGGATTAGTCATCTTCTCCATGTGTTCCTAGTGTAACTTCTGTTCCCGAATGGTTTAGCTTCTGGGAATATGACACAGATTCTCTTTATGGTTTCTTTCTCAGTAAATTCTAAGGTAGCTGTAACACCTGGAGCAAACTGAATGTCACAAAACAGACTTCAAGTATTTGCTCGTACTTGGAAAAAGTTTATGCTCAGTATGCAAACCTGTGAGTGCTTAGCTTTATTTTTTTTGTGTGCAGCAAGTGTATTGAGAATGAGCTTCTGTAGTCATGCACAAGAAATCATTCCGTCATTGATTCACATTATCCCTTGGGAATGGGGATAGTATTTTATGTCTCAAATGAGCAGACATAACAAACCAACAAAGTTTTTGGAGTTAAAGTGTTGGGCAGTTATGGATGTAATTACAGAATCGTTCCAGCTGG